CTTTAGCCGCCATGAAATATTTTCAAACGCATATCCAATCTCAGCGACTTCCTCTTTAAAGTCGCTTTGTAAACCCAGCTGATCAAGCAAGCGGATCAAACCTGAAACTGACTACCGGAAGCCCTATGAGTTTTACATAATTGACGCGATTCGGTTTTGTGAACGGTTTAGTCTATACAATAAGTTACTCAGTCATTAAATGAGATGAAAGTAATTTTACGCTGTCAGAAAATCGTCCTCAGTATTGTTTAAAACTGCACAATCCTTGGTTTTTCTCATACGTTGCACCACATCGTGTTCCGCTAAGACCGAGAGTAAGAACAATTTCCATCGCGGAATCTCCATGAATTTTCCAACGCATTACTCAAATCGCTGTTTGAAGACTTACTTGTGTGCTGAGCTTTTCAAATGGGGTGAACTAAAACCACCAGCTTATTTCGTAAAAATTCCGCATCATGTATAATGCCTTTCAACACTGCGGACTGTGCAAAAACCGTTATCATAACTCCGAGTAGATCTCCAAGTTAGTACCTCTAGTTCAACGGTTCGCTGCGAAATCGCCTCCTATGTTTAGCAAATGTCTCAAGTTGTCAAAGGTGACCATCGTAGAATGACAACCTTGTTTGAAACAGTCATGAGAAAATTGCAATCCAGGCTAAATCCAAAAAGCGCGACCAAGATCTCCAGTAAAATCCAGACTGTCAGCCAAGAAACAAACTAATGTTTCTTGTACTAGTTTTCCTTCAGTCATTAATACCATAAATGACGAATCAGATGCTGAAGATGAAATGAACCTGTGGATGCAGCGACAGAGCCGAAAGTCTTCTACGCCAAATGATCCATAGTTTAGAAAATTATGGTTGAGTAGGTTCTTGCTCATAAGCAGTGAACACCTCATCCATCGATCTACAAATGGATTATTGAGAGGGATAGGAACCCGAACGTGAATAGGTCGTTTATTATTCTGTTATGTTATACGAAAAAGTTTTGCCCCACTTCCATTAGGATATTACTCATTAAAAATGCTGCTAATCGTCTTATCCATTAGATGATAGCAGTATATTTTGGCTTGCCTCAGAAATAGATTTTTCTCTGAATTTTTCACAACGTTTACTTCAAAGCTACTTTTTCTTTGTTCTAAGTAATACGATCTGAATATTCAAAGTGTGAATATTCCACATTGGGCCTCTTTCTGTTTTCAGCCCTTGGATAAAGGATAATCAAGATTTCAATATTCATCGAGCTAGCCAGTTGTGTGGATGTTTATCGAATGTATGGGTCAGGTTAAAAAACATAGGACAGCCAATTCATAGAAGTCAAGAACTGATATGTGTTCGACACTCCCAAGCCTCCGCAGGTAGTGTAATTTATCCGATTGGCAAAGTGCTTTCTAGACATTGTCCACAGGACTCGCTCAGGTTGACCGAACCTCCGCAAAAACTGCGTTGCTTCTACGAGCCCATGTGTCTATTGGAGGGCCGCTCCCAACTTACGCGAATTGACCTCAAAAATATTGAGAAAGTTTACAATATTATCTGTTGGTTTGACAACATTTTTCCTCGTGAATCTCCTGGAACTGAAAGGAATATAGCGACCATTTACTTTCGGCATGGCGTTCGATTCCGTTACCCCACCCACAGTCAAGTAGGTGGATGCAAAATGAGCTCTTATTTTGGTGGTGAGATTTTTATGACCAAATTTAAAGTTGACGTTTTGAAAACCGATCATGGAAGAGTACCGTGCCAGTTTGGTTGAAAATATCTTACCATAGTTCTGATTATAACCGGAGTACTGATAGACTCCTGCAGGGGAAACAATTCGAAAATTAGTTCACGGTGGTAAATGCGAAACGTCAAAAGGTCAAGAATACTGCGGCAGCTCTGCCCGCGTGTTCTATTCGGGGAACCAAATCGTCATTTCAAGAATTTTCAAATTAACAGCGAGGTGTATTTCGAGAACTGCAAACAAGACTGAATCTACCAAAGGTTTTAGCCGCGATTAAACATATTCAGATGCACATCCAATCCCAGCGGCTTTCTGTTTAGGGTAGCTTGATGCACCCAGCTGATCGAGCAATCAAAACTCAAAGTGACTACCAAAAGCCATGTGAGTTTCGCATAACTGGGGCGATTGGGCTTTTGGACGGTTTAGTCTACACAGCGAATTACTGAGTCAGTAGATGAGATGGAAACAACTGTGAGCTGTGAGAAAGTCCATCACGTGGAGACTGTTTAGAGCTGCAAACTCTGTGGTTTTATCTCACACGTCGCACTATACCGTGTTCCACTTGGCCCGAAAGTAAGAGCATAACCCACGGTGAAATATCAGTGAAGTTTCCAACGCGTCACCCAAATTGCTGTTTGGAGGCTTACGTGCGACCTCAGCTGGACAAATGAGGTGAACATAAACCAGTTGCGCCTTTCGAAAAATTCCGCATCATATATAATGACTTTCAACACAGCGGAATGTGCAGAAACGGTTATAATAACTTCAAAATTCTTTTCATTCTGTATCATTTTATTCTTTGCCAACAGATGGTTCTTGTTGGACCGCTCACGCAGTGAGCCAACAATCTGAGGCCTTCACTCTATTTCACTGCGGCCTGGTATGGTTCTGAGAAAATCAGTCAATCTGTCAATAAGCATATTTACCTGTCGGTGAATTTTTTTCCAAAAGATTATGAAAAGTTTGCAATCGAGCTACTAAGCTCGGCAAACAAACCAATGATCAACTCCATCTTTGCTCAGGAGTCAGCTGATCTCGGATTCGAATTCAGCTAATCAAATAACATGCAGCCAACTCACAAATATCAACACCAAACTTCTTCCGCAAACTACCTCAAGGGAAATTTACTTTCCGAAATTCTGGCCTTAAAAAAACCATCCTTAACCGAACTTATATCTGGTTGTATCCTAGCCACTTTTGACGAGGAAAATCTTTAAGCTAGGGGTCCAATCCGAGGGCGATGTATCATACTTGACAACTCTTGGATCTGCTAAAAGTTCAAAGCGATGAAAATTAAAACTTCTATTTTGATCATAATCGTGCACACCGCTAATGTAACTTGAAAGGAAAAGCGGCTATCCACAAAAAAGTTCTCCACAATAGAGCTCCTTTTTCAAGAGACGCAAAGCGAATTTTTGAGCAAAACATACTACTCGCATGCCATTACCAGTAGTTTCAGTAGTACCGGTGGATTTAAATCTCCAAACCCAAGGAAAACCGGGTCATCTTGTGAGATCCGTCACCTAGCAAAACTACCCTTAGGTAATCGGTGTGAATGCGGTGATGACAGTAATTTATGGTGTGTATAATATGACTGGTCAGTCTGAATATTCGTTCCTTAATCCACACAAGCGGTGATGCTCCGGTGGTTTTCGCTGTGAAGCGTTTAAAAGAGTCAAATTTCTGGAACCCTAACCCTGGTTAAAATATTTGAAATTATCAAACCATCATGTGGCAATCGAAGACGGATTCACTGGAAAAATCTGACTATCGAGGAGTAGTGAGCCTAGTCACACTCGCAACGAGCAAACGTTAGACCATAAAATACTATTGCAGCAAAATATGCCAAAGGATGAATTGTGCAACGCACTATCTAAACATCACTTCATTCATTGGTATGCTAAATACTAAAACCATAAGAGCGAATTCAACTTTAAAAATAATGCGTATATGAAAGTGATGCATTTTATTGCACGTCAGAACTGCACAAATTTCGGAGAATGCCCTCCCCAAACATACCATTACCACCGCTGTATGGGTTCCCATAATTTAAGGTTGGTCCCTCTGAAGGTGTTGCGATTGGGAGACAGAACGGCCTGTTTTAAGTAGTATATATAATATATGACAATAATAATATATAATATGTTTCAAATAGACAACCTGTTAACTTTGCAGTAAAAAATTTAGTTGGATATGAACTACAATCCCTAGCATGTTATTTTGATACTATAATCTTGTAACCAAATAAATGAACTAAATTCCGTAGTGGAATGAGGATTTAAACCTCCTCGAAAATCCTGGGATGAATAATATAAAGCGTTATAACCAGGCATCCGCAAGGCATGAGAAGAAGCTCCACTAGTGGACGAATTTACGGGCGTAGTTCTTCGGGTTGTTGAGGATAACTGGTCTACTTCACACTTCCCATTGCAGAAAGTATGCCCTTGGGAGTGTTCAAGATAATGGTACGCGTATCTCCTGGAGATTTTTATAATCAATTGATATTAACAATTAAGACTTCATTTTGCAGGTGAGGCCATTTTGTGTTGAAAAACTGGGAAACATTTCATAACTGCTTTGTCCTTGTTGGGAATGGTCTGAATGGCTCATCTAGCGAATCTCTACTGTAGTTCGAAATCCCTTATAGGTCTGAGTCTACAGATTTTGGCCACAGTCCGCCGAATAGCTTGCATTAGACAGCATATAACATTACCTAGTCTTCGATCCCGGAATCCACATCATATTTCAACGTGTTGACTGCCTACTAGGTTGATGAAACATCCAATGATTGTACAAATTATCCTACATTCTTAGCTACTTGGCGTTTGCTAGTAGTAAGGCGATTTGAGAATGACAATCGAGATTTCATTCCATTGGTGAAGCCAGTCTATGCAAAAAATGCCCGGAAGCAGTGCACTGTTGTCTCAGTGAACGTAGATTTGCCTTAAACCCTGCTTACACGTCAATCGTGAAAAATGGTACACTCCCGCTTTCGACGCAGACTACATACTCCTAGATGCCAAAAATTTTAACTCTACTATCTACTTAACCCATTTATTGAAGTCGCAAAGTGTACAATTTAGGATGAAGTTGAGGGGCCAGTTTGGAGGCCGTCAGTCCTGAGTTCAGAACAAAATAAACGTCAGTATTGTTTCCTTACTGAACTTCCCGGTAATCCACATAGAGTATGAAAGTAATCTTTCATGTATACAATATTCAGAAATTCATTGACTGGTGCTTGGAAGGGATGAGGGAAATATTTGGCAGAGTAAATCGGTTGGCACAAGAATTTAGCGTTGTGCGACCATTTTTAGGCGTTTCCTAATACACGAATATAGTAATTGGACAAGTAGGCGATTGTCGAATCCACAAACTAGAGAAACTATAAAAAGTGAAGGTGATTAAGTCCTTGTGGATCATCCAGATCCACTTTGTTTCCCAAATTCTTAGTGGCCTGTTTTCTGTTCCACTAACTTCCACACTTTAGAAGACTTCCTTCTTCTTCAGCAGTAACACTGCTTCTGAAAACTGCGAGGGCACCAACTATTATCGTCTTCTGCACTGTTTCCAAGTCAGCGTGAAAAAATTCCTTGGTAGATTTTTACGTTTCATTCAAAGGTGCATCGCACATGCATCCACTTTCTGTTGTTTGGAACTTACCCGTGGAGGTCTTGTAGGTGTTGCCATAGGAAGATGACGCTAGCCGAAAAAGAACAAAAACACCAAGTAGGCTGAAGTATGTGGTCAAAATATCTGAGAGCTTTGGCTTTTTCTACTCTGAAAAAATCCTGGTATGCAAACCTATCGGCTTGCCCACGGTCTAACCGCATCCACGATTGTCGGGGCTTATTGGGCGACAGCGTCAAGCTGTATTTCCACATAGTTTCTCAGATGTGTAATGAGTCCACGCATGCGCCGTCATTTTAAACCTTTAGACATAATCTGAACAGACGCCTTCGTTTGCAACGCAGAGTATGGTCGAGTGCAATCTGGCGCACAACTGAACTCAAAGATTGCAACAGCTGTCGAAATCGCCATTGGATATCACCCAAATCCTATCAAACGGCTTAATAATTGCAGGCGGGATAGTCTTCGTATTTTAAAGATTAAATAAAATTGCACCAAATAAGTTGTTTACCAGGAATTACCCCCCGGAATGAGGCATTTTGGACAAAAGTGATCTCACTAACTATGGCAGGTATTTTGGCTTCGCTGTTCTGTGGCAGTGAAGACTTGTCAAGCGAAACACAATTAGGTTGTGCCCGGTGCAGACCTCACAACAGACCACCATTCCTGCGCGCCATTCCTGTCCGATAGTCATATTAAATTCAGTGGGCTACATGTGAATTCCATGAACTTTTGACAATGTCAGTGCATTTGTGAAGTCTTGTAGGCTCGCATCGTTCTAGGATAAACACGATGAGGTTTCTGTACCTCACAATCAGTTGTAGAATAGATCATACAATGTACATGGGTGTCCCTCAGCTGAATGTGCCAGTAAATTCCAGATTATCAAACCTAACATACACACATTTGCGTAGTTCGGAAAAGGTGGTCTCTGGAAATTCGGAGACCACGTTCGCCTGTGGAGCTTGAAAAAAGCGCGGACACGGCAGTGAACTCCCAAGAAACTTCATCGATCCTATGAGTTATTGAAACACAGCTGACTAGTAGTTTGCATTCTTGCTAGGAAATCAGACTACTTGAGTGCGGTCAATCCTCATTCATGACATTTTACCCATTATCATTTCTAGAACTACCAATACGAAACTGCTTTTCCAAATATTCCCGGAGCAAACAGAACGCTTGACGAAACATAATTTGCGTAACTTTTGTGTGGATATATGTAACTCAAATGCGTCTCCCAAAATTCTTTCTAGTGTAGTTGGAGCCGCCTTCAGCATATCCGGCAGCATTTATGTTCCCAGCGCGCGCGAAATACCCCTGCGACTGAAGCTGCGGAACCAAGTTTTCTTGAACTCCAAGAATGTTAAAACACGTGTTATTATGATCAGCAAATAATACATTCTTTTACGATCAGTACATTACCAAGAACGTGGCAAGATAGTCTTTAATTCTTCTTGTTCCAGATATCACAACCTACGCCAAAATATCCCCAGTGGAATTCAAATTATTTGATTTATTGGTAAATGGATCGATATTGTGAGATCACTGTGTTCAACCAGTAGGCGCAAAAAGTACTCCTTAAAGGACACCATGGAGGGAAGAAACTTTAAACAAAATGGACGAGATATCCCAAATCTTGTGATCCTCATTTTCAGTGGTGGTCACTATTCATCAAACGAGGGTATTTTGTTATCTCCCTTTGGATAGACTCATCTCTGCGTGGGATTATTGAAAGCTTTATCAACTTATCAGGGATGCACTTTGACCTTTCTACAGGATTCGCTCTCTTCCGTTGAAATTGAGCTTGTGTTGTCTATAAACATATGCATACATAATCTGTCGGCAAAGTACAATCAAACTCACCATATCCGTAACTGTGATTTGGTCCCTCTAAAATGTGGCAGTCAGCAATAAAATGGTATAAGGATAGCCTGCCTGTGTGTGTAACGCTCATCAGAGACGACGCTACTTAACCACTGTTAAGGGTTATGCTTTTAGTTTTTCAACACGTGCAATGTGCAACCAACTTAAGATTTGGTTATTCCGAGAGGAACCATGAATGTTGCTAAGATGTTACGCCTTTATTCCTATTGCCTATTATTATGATCGGCCTCAGAATCCAGAAGAGCAAATGCGAGCAACCAAGGGATTCAAAACCACTATATTTCGTAACGGCAAAATAGATGGCTCTTAAAACGTAACCTGTTATTCGATGCTAATTATGTAAGCAATGTTGAGGTGATAGAATACCGTTTATTGCTGTAAGCGACTGCGATGAAGTGAATTCTGATTGAAATAGTCCCGATCGATTTCGACATTGCCTCAAATTAACGAAGTATGCATACATAGCTCCTGACAAGTAGATTGTTTGAAAAGCTAGGATTCCCGGTTTAAAAATCTTGAAAACTGTTCTGCACCGGTTTGAGTGAGTTCCTTTAGATAGTCACGATCAGTCGTTATTCCAGATATGTACAAGGTCATCTGATCTTCAATCTCCCCAATATTTCCAAGTAACAGAATGCGTTACGTAAAACCCATCGTAAGACATGTTTGAGCTCACCGGTAGAGGTTCTGTAGCTGCCACTTGAGAAAGGCTTTTCTGCTGAAGGAAACCAAATAAAGTGGACACAGAAATTGACGCGGATCCTCTAAAACCACCAGGGACCATGATAAATAAATAGTTTGCCTGTAAACGCTGCAACGTGGATATTCCTCTCTGTGTCGCCCGGACATCTACCGATGGCAGACTGAAGCATCAGCATTCAAAGATATATATACATACTTAGAACGAGTAATGACCAGAAGCCTGTTGAGCCAATAATGAGATTTTACGCAAAAAGTACTTCACCTTAACCGTTTGCACAGTGTTCTTATTTTTTAAAGCAAAACGTTGCCGAACAGTTGAGCTAGAGTGAATCTGCGAAATCCAGCCATTTTCGGGAGAAAGCGTAACGTGCGTGAATGTTGAATCACTGGTATCCACCCCGACAACGGTACAAGCGGTTGTTGAAAAATGCTAATCCTCAGGATCTGGTTACCGGTATAATTCAGCATGATCCGGAAGACACCGTGTTTCTTGCTTACGGAGATTTGAAACTGTTTCTAGGAAATCGCACGTTCTTCTTGTCTCAACGGATTCAACAGCTCAATTTTTGTATGCCAGAAGCCAAAGGCATTTAGGGTGACGACTGAGTTATCCATTGTGCAGCTCTACATCAGTGACACATCTATGTTATTCGGTTTGTTCTACAGAACACTGATCCAATGCCAGGTCTCTGTGTTTCTGTACTGGAAGCCAAAGGGTACTCGACGGATAAAACCCCAACTAATTTGGCATGTTTAAGCGCATCGCGCGGTATTTATCAACCAAGTGAATATATTTTATTAGGAATGCGAAAAAGTATTAAACGCTTACGTTTCTTATCCTGTTTCTCCTTGTAAAGATATCGTATATCTGTGAAGATTTTAGCAAGTCGAACGAAGGTTATGGAGCTCAGTACAACATTCCTTGCTTTGTTTCGAAGTTAATTCTAGTAACGGAACTGTCCACTTGAACTGTATTGATTTTCTGCAAGATAGGTAGATGTACGCAGCAATATCTGGTGAAAGGTTTGCTAAAGCGAGAAGGATTGACTCCACTCCCGCTCAAAATATCTATCATGTTCAAGTTGATCCGAAGTATTCATCGCTCACGGTGAGAAAAGCTTTGTGGTGTGAATACGACCAGCATATCTATGTGCTGGAGCTTATATTATATCATATTTCATCTACTTTCAAGTTTTGAGTAGTAAATGGAAAACGACGTTTTGGATTCGTTTCAACGTCAGCGTCACTTTACGTGTTGGAATGGGTCCTCGCTTAAAAATGAGCGGTTTGATCTAGTAAACAGACAATTTTATAAGAAATGGAGAATTTCAAAACCATTTATCACCAGTTAATATCCGTTCATATTGATCGCATTCTCCTACCGTTCAAATCACGGATTTCGCTCGAAAAACGCAGCACATTCTTCATCAATTATTCAGTCAATTTGTGAAAATTAATCTACTTACACTTCACTGGATCGTCTGGTTAAAGTCAATATTAACATATTGAAGCATTAAGATGATAATGTATATAATTTATTATATAATATTTATTGTACATAATAATATATATTACGCATAACATATTGTATCTAATATAATAATAGTAATACAATATTAATATAACGTAAGAATTTGTAGTGAACCTGATGTTTCTGTACAGTTTCTGCGTACCGTTTCTGCTTCTACTTTACACGGATCTTTGGATGTCTTGTGCATTGTGATATTAATTTGGAGACGTCTTTGGTACCAATGTGACGGAGTGAAATAAGTTTGCAATTTGTAGGTTACATGAAAGGATCCTAGACCCTGTTATTATCTTTTGGTAGAAAATATTTTAAAAGTGCATTCTATGTGCTTCCGCAAAGTACCTTTAATTCAAGGTATCGTGTGAGTCTCCTTGGAAACCATTTTGATATGAAAAAAGAACATTTCCTATCATATTGTTTCAATACAAAGCAGGTGATATTTTTATTGGATTGCACATCAAATTGGCAACTGCTGATGGTTGCACAAGTTTTAGTTCCGTAACCACCATCAACTCATTAAGCCAGTCCTGCGCCTTCATACTTTTTTTTCCGCTTTCAAAGGTAAATTGGTATTGTGGATATCTGGCTGTTTGAATCTGTTGCAAAACGCATGGAGACTTCTTGTGGATTTGTCTTTATTTAGTAATAATCGGTGCCCAAATCAACACAAATCTTGTAGGCAGCTGTCAGCGGTTTTTATTGAAAACATTCCGAAATCATTTACACAAAATAATCCTCTCATGAAAGTAAAAACATAACGAAAGGAAAACACAATATTTCTTAGTATGAACGGCCCCAAAATTCTTCTAAATAAGAATTCTGCTGAAGATATCGTGACGAACTACGGCAATGATTAAAGTTCTGTAGTTTCGGCAAACCTCACAGCCACTATAGCCATACATTTTGCAGTAGAAGACGTAGTCATTGGAAAAATAAGGTTCTTTTACCAGGTAACTTACCTCTTTCCTTCTGTTGATTGTATTTGTTGTGGGGTACGTCTGAAATAAACATTGCTGGCATGTGGTATGTGGTCTGCATGTATGTGGTCTGCGTGTGAGCAGATGTCAACAATTTTCCAGCAGTCAATTTAAGGTCATGAGGTGTGCAATGACAATATAATTACGCAAACAGTCAGACAAATATCAGAGCTAGATTCGGTTTGTTTCAGAGAACATCGGTCTGATACCAGGTCTGGATGGTTGTGAACTGCAAGCCAGCATGTACTCAATGGCGTAAACTACGGATCATTGAGAACGTGTAAGCGCATCGCGAGGTACTTATCAACCGAGACAATATATTTTTTCAGGTATGCGGAAAAGTATTAAACGCTTACGTTTCTTATGCTGTTTCTCCTTGTAGAGATATCGTATATCTGTGAAGATTTTAGCAAATCGAACGAAGGTTACGGATCTCAGTAAAACATTCCTTGCTTTGTTGCAAAATTAATTATATTAACGGAACTGTCCATTTAAGCTGCACTGGTTTTTTGCATGATATGCAGATATGATGTGCACAAATATTTAATAAAGCGTTTGCTAAAGCGAGGAGGATTGACTCAAATGTGACGTGTGTCGAAGCCTAAACTATCGCTTATCAGGATTCACTTAGACATGAAAACGATAGTGCTTTCTGAAATGAGAGCGCCTTGATAGTTTTCATTTCCCCGCCAGCCCAAAATTTCCCAAATGGCGTTTCTAGTTATTTTTCACAGAGACACGATTCTGCTCAAACTATCTATCATGTTCGAGGTGATCCGAACTGCTCATCGTCTACGGTGTGAAAAGCTGTGTGGTGTGACTACTGTATAGGACCAGCACATTTGTATGCTAGGGGTTATATTTTGCCATAAATCATCTACCTGCACATTTTGAATCCATACATTCATTGATTTACAGGAAGCGAAAATTTGGCATTCGTTTTTTGTCAGCTCGACAGTGCGTATTTGAATGGTCCTCGCCTAGGAATGAGTGGCTTGTCCTAATAATTCAACAACCTTATAAGAAATGGAACAATTCAAACCCTTTCTATCAGTTGATATCCGTTCATACTAATCGTATTCTCCTACCTTTCAAACGGATTTTACTCAACCAACGCAGCAGCTTTTCTCATCAAGTAATCAATCAATTTGTAAAAATAAATCTACTCACCCTCCACTGGATCGTCTGGTAGAAATTTTGCAATTTGTAGATTACATAGAAGGCTCCTAGACTCTGTTATTAGATTGTCATATAAAATATCTTAAACGTACATCCTATGTGACGAAACGAGGATATTGTGAGTATCCGTGGGGCTTCCTCCTTTATATTTCCCATAGTGGCATTTACTCATTCACATTGACGCTAGTTGTAATATCGTGCATTCTGTATCTAAGCGCTTGCGGTCAAGAGAGTGCGAGAAAAGATGGAAAAAAGGCGTTGTAGTATCTAACAACTAGATAAAAATAAAGTCATTCGGTTTTTTAGTGGAAAAATGTTTCTTGGTTTGTGGCGAAACGTTCAAGTTGGGAAAAATTAAGAGGTGCAGGCGAATGGAACACGCATACATTACTGCGTAATAAGTAAAAATTCATTTGCGCAGTTATTTCGAGTACTCTTGAACGACTCTATTTAAAAGCATATTGAGTGGAAACTTGTTGGCGACCTATCAAAGTTCACCCTTTTTCTCTAATGTTGCCTTCTGATACTGTAAGATATAAGTTTGGAAAAGTAATGAGGAATTGATGAAATCGTGGTTATGCGTTTCTCACAGCTTTAAACTGAAGTATGAATCTACATGTATTGTCATTAGGAAATCAGAGTGAATCTGTCGAGTGAGTGGAGACCTCAACTTGACCATAGCTCATAGGCATCTGATTAGCTTCTATCCACCACCAGGATAGGAAATCGTTAAAGAGCGGACCATTTCATCCCCGAAATAATTCACTTTGATCTTACCGTCTGCATCCCGTGCGTAATGATGTGTCATTTTATGTATACAAATAGAGGTTTATGTGCAAATCGTGATATTGAATGATGATGTTGTCGGATCACAAAAGCGCACCTTCGTTGACGACTTGTCCTCTGTGATATTAATTAATTAGAACCCTCTTCTGTTATCACATTCCGCATGGCGTGTTCGTGGATTGTAGCCAATTTAGCAACGCATTGACATTGGGGGTTAAGTCGCTTACTATCATGCTTCAAGCTGAACATTTTTTTACTTACGGATGTTCTCCATTTGAAACTAGATGATCACAACCACGTGGTGCAGGAAAAATGTTTTTATTTCAAGAAACAGTGTTCACAAGGTTGCTGATAAAGCATCGAGAGTCCTTGGCCAGTTTCATTCTTCTTGAAGCCAGTCTGGTAAATCGACTCAGCCAATTGTAACATGCCAGATATCGTACAGATGGAATCATCAAGTGGCTTCGGTACAGCACGTATCATTGAAAGCTATTCTATCAGCCCGGTTTCGTGTAAGCCTCGCGTGTAAACCATTTTAATTTTCACATAAATGCGTTCGCCCACCATGTTGTTTCATTATGAAGCAGGCCAGATTCCGAGCTACGCAGTTCATCACGAAAGAAGCTAGATCCGTCTCCATTAGAGATGGAGAAGCGGATTTGTGCCGAGAAACTGCGAGAATTGCGTTCACGCAAGATCGTAGACCAGAGAGTGCCAGACGCTAAGTGGTTTCCGAAGACTCGACGGAGGAAGACAGTACTCGATCAATCGCACCCAGTAGCACATCGTACGGCTTGGTCAGGACCGGAGATCCGTCACCTTCAAGGAGAACATCATGGATGAGAGAGGCGCATATGAGTTGGCCGAATAGAACGCAAAGTTGACCACGTAGCTGCGGATCCGAATGTGTACGCAACAGACAAAGAAGTATATCCACTGCGTTGGGATAGCTTGTCGGCGTTTCGACCTCCATTGGATCTAAGGTACAAAACTGACTGAGAGATATTGGATGAAAAATTGGTTTGGACAGCAAGAGGCGATCTGCGTGAGGCAAGATTTTCCGAGCAGTTGGTTGCAAGTTTTCGGGTTGGTAGGCGAACGCGGCAATAAGGCGAATGGACCAGTAACAGTGTCAGGGAAGACGCGCAACCGTAGCATCAGATAGGAAACGAGCCAAGTTGACTCACACAAAGAACTCGGTTATTTCGGAACGAAATAGGTCAGCAACTCCGTTAAGGTGAGCAATTTCAGGGGCCGGTCGGTTTGCCTTGGGATATATTGTCACTGCCGGAACCTGAAGAGGTACTTTTCAGCATAATCACACTGGGGTCAGACGAATCAGTCACCGACCAAAGAACAGAATATTCCACCGCGGAGAGGTTTTTATCAAAGTGAGAACCTGTTTTCTGCACCACACTCGACGTTTGTTCTTCACGAACCATACGTGCCCTCACCATTGAGAGCTGTTTTTGTACATCCTGTCGGGCCTGGTGTAGCTTCCGTCACGGAGAAACTGGACCGTACCGTGGTGTGACGGTTTGCACACCTCAGCGATCCATGGAGAGTGTCCCGCGACACTCACAGAGTCTCTCATACCAGGTTGGTCAATGGTTAGAGGTCTGACGAACACAGTCTCCTGGCCCTCCAGGTTGGGGGTTGGAACATGTGGCGACTTGTTCCGTAGAAATGGTAATGCATTTGCATTTCCCGCCAAACACCGCTGCCTTGCGATTAGGCTTTTGAGCCAAAGACTTTGGTTGAGGACCCTAATCGTCCTTCTGTCTAGGTGTGGGCGCCCTAGCATTATCCCAGCCCTCGTACAACCATGACCTAAAATATTAAAACCAGAGTGTCCATCAACACTGATGCATGCTGTCGATGATGATGATGAGGTGATTTTTTTGGATTGATAATCAGATGTTCCGTGAAAGTTTTAATTCCGTAACCACTGTCTTCTAATTTAGTCATCTCTGCGCTTTCTTGCTGTTTTGCATCCTTTTAAAGTAACTTGGTAATGTGGATATTTGGCTGTGTATATCTGTCGTACAACGCATGGTAAATTCTAATTGATGTGTTAATATTTAGTAACCATCAGTGCTCTGATGAATACATATCTTATAGGCAACTGCCAGCTGTTTTTATTGAAAACGTTATGGATCAAGTTATACAAAAATGATCCTCTTTTGAGACGAGAAGATAAAGAAATCAAAAAACAACATTTCGCATTTGGAACGGCCAAAAATCCTTCCAGATAACACCGCTGCTAAGACTATCGTGCCAAAAACCTGGAATGATTAAATTTTGTAGTTTCGGCGAAACCTCACAGCCACTATAACCACACATTTCGTAGCGAGAGACGTTGCCTTGGAAAAATAAGATGTTTTAGCAGGTGACTTACCTTTTTCCTTCTGCTGACTGTATTTGTTGCGGAGTTCCTCTGAAGCACAGTTGTATATTGTCTGCATGTAAGCTGATTTCAACCACTATCCAGTGATCAATTCAAGGACATAAGGTGTGCCATGACAAAATGATTATGCAAACAGTCAGACAAATATCAAAGCTAGAATCGGGTCACTAAGAAATTACTTCGAGCCAGGGACCACAGTATGCCTTGCGCTATTCCTTCGTTTGTTGTCAACTAGAAATGTAGATATTATTGTGTAAAGAATTTCATTTGTTCTCAACTAAGTCTTGAATCTTTTCAGGCATTGTCTTTTCCAAACACCTAGATGTTTTAGCTTAACGTCGCGGTTGTAATTGTTATTGGTGAAAGAGACAACCACTTCCGTCCATCTTGAGGCTTAACATTTCATGGATCGCTTGAATTTCATCGTGTCCAAGAAGGCTTGAGAAGCGACTTCGTTCAAACGATTTGGAGTGTCATCCATAATGATCCATGTGACAGGCGAATACTCCTGTTCATTGTTGTGAAGATGGTAGTCGGACGAACCGGTAGGTCAAGTGGAAGAACGTCATTTACTCCGGGTATGGGGAACTTGCACTGCACCTTTTAACACAAGTGAATCCAAGTACCCATGGAATCCTAATTCCGAAGTCAGAAACCCGCTATTTGTGACCACGACTCACTAGACGCCACGTGGCTTCACCTCATAGCCATGAGAATTTCTCTGGAGATAAGTCTTTTTTGCCACCACGCACTACTTCGTGAATGATATTCGCGACCACAAAGTAGAAGCTCAAACTCTCGGCGTGTATGGGAACATCGACTAGTAGTGATAATATCCGAAATCTTGCAAAAGTACATTCGTTTCAACTTATTCAAATCCTGAAAATTCATCTTGCATTTCATGGAAATGATTAAAGGTTATTATATTATTCAAAGTCGTCATTATTCCCAATATCTTGCCCAAATCCACGTTGTAGCATCTCATTGGTAGCGCTAGATTTTTGTAATTGTTGTGAAGCTCGTGTGTTACTGCTTAGCGTGAGACAGACAACCATAACTAATTAAGGTGTTTATTTAAAAAAACCACTCAGATTGTTTTGAGGACTTGTTTCACATGCGGATACATGAAACTTGCTTCCAAAGGTTTGGACATCATGCCCGATGTTAAGTGGGTGATCCGCGCACGTCTCCTCGGCAAGAATCTCTTTGTGTCCGATGTTAAATGGACAATGTCTAAAATTATCCGCGTGAGACACAGGTAATTTAAGAGTCCTGATAGATTGATTCGAAGAATCACACAGATTCTTTAAATCATTTTGTTACCAACTCCGAAATGCCGAACACCTCTTGAAGGAATTGGTTATACCATCAACACACTTTGATTACTCTTCACCCGCAGTCCGTAAAGTAGGAGAACCTCATTATATCGCATGCTTTTCGACAATGTGGCACCAGTTCTAGGCGCGCCAGACGGAATAATCTAACGATCCCAATACTTTCAAGGTCCCACCAATCGATAAAATGTAGTCCTGTGTTTCAGAGGGGTTTGGTAAACAATCGGTGGATTTATTGCTGGGCAACGTTTCGCTTTTGACACAAAAGCTTCGTCAGGCCAAGTAAGTAAGTAGGTTCATCATAAAGACGAACCCCCCTCTAACCGATCTATCGTAAAGCTTAGTCATCGCACTAATCAACAAACAGGGATATCTGGCTGAACACCCAGCAATGATCACGTCACTAGTCATAAGGAATCTCACGGATTGGTTCCCTGACTGCCTTAAAACCCAATCAACCTACTTACTCACTTGGCCTGACGAAGCTTTTGTGTCAAAAGTGAAACGTTGCCTGCTGTTGCTTAGCAATAAATCCACCGATTGTTTACCAAACCCCTCTGAAACGATGACTTCCCAATCGGTCCCAAACATTTTCCAATTGATTGTAGTCCTGTGTGTTGTGTCAAGAAAACGCATCTCGATTAATCGAACATCATATCAGATGAAAACTAATGTCCCAAACGAACATCTGCTTTGAATTCCGTATTTTTTTTACAATCAACTGTATTTGAAAGTAGTGTGATTCAAAAACTTCTGTGATTCTTTTTGCCACTGAAATGCCTAAGCCATCCCACATTTTTGGTCGGTGAACGGAACGTGTCAATACGCTTCAAAACGCGGAAGTCGAGTGTACGACATCACAAAAGTGTTTTTTTCGCAATCTGCAATATGTTCGTGAACGAAGACATTTTGTCTCAGAAGCGTAAGCAGACAGACACGAATCCGTTTCCTTTCATTGATCCAACCAGCGTGCTGTTCTAGACCGTAAATCTAACCTATTTCTCTCCAAATAGCCATTGCTTTGTAAGCTTACAGTAACGTTTCTCATATATATGTATGCTGTTATAAGTGAACTTACTTTCCAGCATCTTTTCGTCACCGCTGTTTAAAAGTTCTGAAAGAATAGGATATATTGCCGAAACTCAAAGACTCTATGGACGGCAAATTCAGCAACTACCCAGACCATTCAGTCTCTTTTGTGTTAAATGTTTCTTGCGAACTAAGTCAAAAAATCTAAGAGTAGGATAGGTAGTCGTTCTAGCACCAATAACCGCCGATCATAAGTGACCCTTCCTAATCGAGTAAATTCGTAAATTCACTTACCTTTCATTTTTTTGCTTTCGGACTCTGGAACAAATAAGTGTAGTTGCAGGCAAATAAGTGGTTTTTCAAGGATTCATAGCAATAGGACTTTGAAAGGATACTAACCTGGAACTCAAATGAGTATCTCTTTTACGATGTTCTCAGAGTGAATTTACTGTATATTCCGGCTAATATATCAGTTTGTACATTATTTGATACATCATGATAAATAGAATTGCCATAAAAGGCGTTAAGTACTGTTGCATTTTGCACGACTACAACCATAAACTATAATGAAGATTTTTTCAATGTACATTTATGTGAACTAGTGCATGGCTTTCTATATTGAGCGCAAAATGAGAATTTCTACACTTCGACATGCAAGTTTCGTTCCAAATTATTTCTGATCCAAAATTCTATCATACAAATATCTGGAAATGAACACTTTTCCTTCCTTCACTAGTATAAGTCAACATAATATTGTTCACAGAATCGAAGTTTCTACATGACTATGCAAGAATTATTTCGTTAGGCCTGACCTCAACGTTTTTTGGACCAAAGTTTACACCATCATCCTCCTCATACTCTTATTGGTTAATGGTCGGATCGCCATCGTGATCACTTGCAAGGACACACTGGAACACATCACTTTATGCACCGATTGGGAATGTGAAGCTATTTAAGCATCCCTTCGAAGTCCTGAATGAAAAAGGAGGTCCTTCTTCCACAGAACCGTCTAAAACAGTGATCAAATGCACCAAAGCTGTTTTGAAATTTTGTGACCTAACTTTGGGACGAGTCGCAATTAAACCAGAGGCGGTCAATCAACCACATAGTGCTGTCGTTGGAAAATCGATCAAACTTGCTTCAAGATAGTAATTCGGTACAACGTAGATAAAAAAAATACGTGGGAATTGTACCATTTCAGAGCTTCAAAAGATCCTTACTTTTCACAGCTACCTCATCGTCATCATCATCAAGGATTTTCCGGATAGCTATGAACAACAGATGAAATGAAAGTTTTTAATGAGCTGTGGAAGTTTCAAAGACAGTAGAGTTATTCAATGGTGATCTTCAAAAGTGTCTTTTCAAAATGTCGGTAAAGCAGTTGGCTGGAAATCCACAACTCCTCAAAGTTGACGGTATCGTTTGGGTTCATACATGAAATTTTTGGTTACCACTGAATTCAGCAAATCGCTGTTGCAGTAATTAACATCATAACTAATTAACTAACTCTCTGCAAGTGAGCGTAACTGTGAATCAAACAAATGACTCTAATGAAGATGACGCTACCACCTTAGTTATCATGATAGATATTGCGTAACCAACCGGCCAATAGAATCTACTGAAATGCAAGCATTCTCCCTTCACTATGTATGTGTAGCAGCGCCACACATTGAAAAAATTAACATTCCATAGCTCACCTTATCTGCTTACTGATTTCGGTTTTCATCTGAGCCAAAATGAGTATCACTTACCGGCTAAACGACTTTGGCGTGCTAAAATTTGAACAGCATTATTGGTGTGTAGTTATAGTGATGACGACTTGAAAGCTTTCAGCCCAAAATTATTGCGGAATGGATAGTTGATGACTCTACAAAAAATTTAAAAGAACACTCTGCTGTAACACAGTCACTGTGCCTAATGGTTAAGTCAACTAAAGAAAGCTTGAGGGCTGGGACACTGCCAGGTTGCTCAAGACTAGACAGGAGAAGTCGAGATGCGGAAGTTAGATTCGAACCATGGGCCTTCCGCTAAATGAATTCGCACCGGAACCCCGAATTCCTTCAGGTACCTAACTCTCCATTTGTTAGTCAGCACGAGCGTGTTACTTTTATATTTGACTGCATAGTTGTGAATAGAAGAGTGGCCTATAGTGGATAGACTCCATAGTTTATTCTCTGAGCCATGCAACATGGTGGGGAATGCACGTGAGCAAACCTGAAACCACAAGTCGGCAGAAATAACTAGAACACACAACCTGGCTAACAAATATGGGGTTCTGTGGCTACCGCGAGGCAAGCATATCAAAACCTTATAAAAAATGTGCCGTGGTCTTGCATATTTCACCGATTAAGATAGTGAAGGGGTCGATAGTTTCACTCAGATAAAAATGATTTGGTCATTGTTGATTATGGGGTCCCACTAACTGGTGGTTGATCAGCTTGCTGGTGGTCTGCGTGGCAAACATTTCCTGGTCAATCTTAGCTACCCTATTCCACGGTTTGGTAAGTCAGAGTGGCTGCTGACCAACACCAGTTCTAGAGTCGGATCCGTTTCTTCTACAAAAGAGTTTATGGTTATATACTCGGATTCCGACACTGGCAGTTTGATTGTTTTTGAACTGTCGGAAAGCATTTTGTTTTATTCTATGGAGTGAAATATCTCAGTCAGATGTGACACGATTGCACTCAAATCTATATTCTCTGATCCAAGCTTCAGCGAATTGGGTTTGTGCTCCCGTACATCTCTGAAAAACGCTTCATTGCACGACTACTGTAGGATGCGTGATACCGGCATACTAACGGGTACAAGCTACACCTGATGGTCACCCGTCTTTCAGTCGGAAGCTGATAATAGATAATAATGGATGTGGAACTCATGCGTACAGTTAGACATTTATAGGTGCCGTCAGTCATGTTTTCTAGCATTCTAGCAATTGGAATAACAGCTTAACCTTCTTCAATCTCAAGATGTAGGCAAGACTGTTTCGTTTCTGGTAAATGTTTTATAGTACTTAGTTTCACACACTGCTTTATTTGCTAATGAATAACCATTCATAACAAACAATTATCCCGGATATTTTACTTGTTCGTTAGAAAAAACTTTGTGACCGTCTTATTAGTTTTGATTTTGATCAATTATCCCATGACTGCACTTCACTGTGCACTGATCATGTCACCTCGACTGGTGATGAAAATTTGGCAATCAAATTGCTCAGCTTAGCGAACAAAATCAACAACCAACTAGACTAGCTGATTTGCCAGCCCTCTCTTCGACAGGAACTGTATTTTCCTGTTTCTATCGGCCTTCCATGCATTTTGGACTGAAAAATTCCCCAGGCTTTATCACGTGTATGGACAAGGAATAAATGACGATGTCTGCCCTGAATATTAGAATGAATTGAGCTGAAGGTAAACTCAACACTAGTTGCGCAATAACGAAGTGACATCCATTTAGCGACACTAGGGTGCGCCTCATAAAATTGGAAAAAAAAGTTAGTAATAGTCGTATTTGGCGGACTGAGAGAGCTGGTGCCGGGTAGGTTGCCCGGACATCGTTTCGGAGCAATAAGCTCAAGGCAACTCCAAACTGGACCAATTAACGTGTTCAGTTTCAATGTACGGGCTTTTTTTGCAATGAGCAACACGATCTAGCTTGCACTCAAGAAGCAGATCACAATAGTAAACAGAAAGGACTCGAGAAGCTCAGATTTGACGACCGTGAAAAGTTCTGATAATAGAAAACAGACTTTTTAGGTCACTGTCGAACTTGCATTCTTGAATGTGTTGGCACAAACATGGTTATCCAACTGGCCCATGCAGATTTTTCCCAATGGCTGAGGCCAACACCACCGACATATGCACCCGGTTCTCCATAATGCAGATTGACCGATTGAAGCCTCTTGGATCCAGCTGTTTCCAGTGAGGATCACAATTACTCCTTCGCTTGGTTGGCAAGTTATATCCTTCTTGTGATACCTGACCGGTCATTCACTAGTGGTGAACTTTGGACGTTTGTCTGAGCATGGAGATATGACGCCATGATACGGAGCAAGTGACGTCACATTCAGATCCTCAAACATTCCGGATAGCCCCAGCCTCCTGGACCCCGTCTCTCGAAACAACCGCTAGGAAGTTCGAGGAAGTTCGACAATAATCTTACCAATATAAACTCAGGTCCATAAAATACAAGTCTAGGGCATGATCTTTTGAGGACAAATCGTCTCTCTTTCAGACTGGACATCAAAACTGGTATCAAAAGTACTAAAGTCATTTTCTAGCTTTCTTGTTTTCAAGTAAACTAACCACCCGTGACTCATTGGTCGTCCAAAAACTGATATATGGTACTGACAGTCAGTCAATGAACTCTCCAGTAGAACGTATTGTATTAGGTGCAAAAGCACGGAAGAGATATGCAACCGATTTTAGGGATTCCCTGAAACAAGGTAAGCAACGCAAAACAGTTTCAAACATCTGGTCTCGAATAAACACTTTGTTGAATAAGTCAAAAGATGATAGGAGGGCAGGATCGCAGTGTTTTCTGACACGGTTTGATTCCATCAAGAAAATGCCCAGTCGTCAATTCAAGTCGTGTCTCATGGAGCCTGAGAACATCAGGTCAAACGTATATGAATGTGATCTGTGAATGTGTTTCGACGTTTTGCTCAGTAGACGGTAACAAAGAAAACTCTTACAGCAAGCGTAATGCTCCATCACAATCACCTCCAAGGGTCCCCTGTTTCGAGGCTTCAAAATCACATGCCGATCCAGATCAATCCCTGTAGCTTTGCATTCCAGGACGCCACTGTACTGTAACTAAATGCCAAAGTTGCTCTTTTTTTGGAGAGCGCGCTATCCAAGTGCTTGCTTTCACCAACAAACGATTTTGCCCCGAAAAACAGAACACCGCCGCTTGGAGACACACAACCAGCTGCTGCTCTCATCTGCTCAGTCACGTTGTCGATCACCAATCAGAGGCTTGGAGACTGTGCACCCCTCACCATCTTAAACAAATGAAGCTCAAACTGCAGTTTCACGGGCTACACTTTTCTAACTGCTTTACTAAACGCCTGAACATTACCGTAGGCCGTCTTGAGAGTAAAAAGATCAGGTAAGCATGCAGGCATTACATGATCAGCTCACTGCTATTCTCTTGTACCTTTATCTGCTCACGGACCGAGCAACGGCACAAGAAATACTGTGACCAGCTGACGATATCAAGCAACACAAAAGACTCTAGATAGCTGGAAAAAACGGTGCCAAAAGTTTTATTCGGTTGTCATCATCCTATGTGATCACACTTTATTAAGGAAAACTGACCAGATATGCATGTCCAATCTGCTGTTTGGACCACTATAAAACTTTTACATGTGTTGCGTGTTGGCCGCTAGTGATTTCCCACGGTGAGACTCTGGCTTTGTTGCCGGGCTACCTCAAACCTACTCAAGTATGTTGTTATATACTTTGCTGTGAATTAATGCATCCTATTTTATCCCATCTATGTGTACTTCATGTGTTCATCCACAAATAACTCTTGACAGCATAGGATTACCGTCATTTTAAGGGCCTAGTTGGACAGTGACCAGCATTGGAGTCACATGTGTGTGCGCAGGATAATTTCCTAAATTGTTCAGGCCACCAGATGCCCCTTTTATGCTATTTGGGGGAACTGTTGTTTTGCATTTATGCAAACTAAAACTCACGAATCACCATTTGGACATGCTGATGGTTTGGGTAATGTCTGCGTCCGCTCAGCATTCGGTACTAACCCCTCGAACTTACACTGCATCTGGGTGGATGCACAGTCAGCTCAGGGCAAACTGGATGTGGTAGAACTCAATGTATGTGGCTATCCCTCAGCGCAGCTTCATGTAACAGGTCAGTCCGGAAGCGGATCTAGGCTATATTAGATTGGATTAGATGAGATGGATACAGACAATTAAGTGAGTAGATAGATACCCAGCCGGATGAATAGATCGTCTTGTAGGCAGGCCGTTAGGCCAATCGATATATCGCTCGATATACAGATATGGAAGTAAGTGCGCAGGTCGATGTCTCACAACATCAAGGACTTACCTTTGGTGTCCTCTTTATAAAGATGCCTTATATCTGTAAATGTGGACCGAAAATTGAAGTTATCAGGTATTGATTATCAAGGTTGGTTAAGCAATGAAACAAGAAAACGTTTCTGGAAAGTGGTTGGCATACACGTTCTTCAGAAAGAATTCATCCCAACTAGCCCACTTTTATCGTTCTTACCAAGCAGGGTCTCCGTACGAAAATTCCTCTAAAACGTAAATTGAACTAAAGCCGGCTCACAACAGGGGAATGAAAGTCATCAGGGTCGTTCAGTGCACGATTTCAAGTGAGCTGAATATCGGCTAATAAAACACAGATCGCACAGCTTATCGGCCAATTAACTCATACCTATCGACAGTGAGTGAGTGGAAGTGATTCCTACCCAAAACTTACCTTCAACAGCTGAATCCATATCGTTGGTTGCTGTGGACATTGAACAAACAGATAAATTCGTTTGTTGTGCCAAGCCCTTGCACAATACATATGCTATTGAATACGTTTGTATTCATCACTTGCCTTGTCTCCTTGCCTTTCTTTGGTGTCTGTGATGGGCTGCTGTAAGAAAACAAAGATGATGCCTCATTAACACAAATCAGAACCAATCAGAACTCGAGATGGCAAATTTCGTTATACAGTAAACTGTCGCCAAATATTTGAAGGTCCGGTTCACATTTTATTACAGCAGTGAAAAAACTGTCCTTCGGTGAACTGGAAATTTTTGCCGCGTGATCATGAAAAGCTTTAGTACACCGTGGCTCCTCTGAAAACCAGCGCTCACTTCTGAAACGGAGTAAAATCTAAAATATTTGTCCCAGTACCACAACAACAACACCACATGTATTCATTTTATCTCATGTTACGTCGGCGCACCGGAACGTCATTCAGGATTCCGTTGTGAATCTTCGAACGTGAGGACGAAAAATGAATACTCGCATCAGTTATGTTTTTCTAATGGCCCATAAAATATTTCAGTACGCCTAAGTTACAACCCAGCATGCATGTTGACGGAAGGCTTATGTGGTTACGATTAAAGGTTGATGCACGGGTATTTTTCCTCACAGGACACACCTCTTACAAGGTCACTGGAAACGATCCGTCGAAGTGGTCTCAGTAAACTTGTGAGCAATATGTATCAGTAATTAGCCATCTCGAATATCGTACCAAATGAAACAGAAGGCGGCCTTCGTGCGTCAAGTCCAGCTGATTAATGTCATAAGCGCTAGTTCAAACTTGTATTCAACACAATTTAGATGTAATTGCATTTCGCCAACTGAGCTAAAGTCCGGGTCATAGGTAGACAAGCCACAGCCCAAAATAGGGAGACATATTACACCATTGCAAACGCTTTATTACTAAGAGTACTGCAGCAAAGTTGATGGTAGTCACTCAATCTGGTTTTTCAAGTAGATAATAAATTCAGGCAAGGAAGTGATCGGCGGGACTGCTTCGGATTAAAAATATCACAAACAAATCGCAGAGAGTCGTTTCTAGACAGTAAATACAACATGTCCACCATGACTATCTCGTTTTCTTGGGTGATAACACTGAATATCTATAAGCCTTTTAACGGACACTACCGCGCCACTAAAGTATGAAAGTCTAGTTAGCAACCGAGAGTGCACATTTCCAACAAACACATCAAACATTTCCATCTCGAATCGAGTCTTAGCATAAGGACCAGAAGGAGGCTCGCCTAATGTTCCATGCATTCCGGTAAAATATTATACAGTCTTTTTGGTGAAGCTTGCTCAAATTAGACGGGATTAGCTAGACATGAATTATGACGCTATGTTAAGTCTTTAGCTGTTTACTTGCGTGGCCAACCAAAACGACGGTCTGTCCCTAGTCAGTGAATAGTCAATAATTAAACCGGTCAGACACAGGGGATACCCCCTGTGTCAACCTGGCTTCTTTTCCTCCTTGTTCGTCGTAACTCTGAATATTCTGTTTCTGAAGACCATATGCAGTGTTCAAAACCTCACAAATTTTACATCCGCATATTAGCATTGATTTTCTTCTTTACGATCAAACCGAACCATCACCGGTTTTTCGAGTTAAAAGCAACCATCCCGAAGAATAATCTTCCTTTACAACGTTTGATGATGCCATGAATATTCGGAGTCTTTGTAATGGACTGCTTAGACGTCCAAATTCGTGTCCTGTTCTCCCCAGCGAAAAATACGCCGTGAGATTTGCCTACTTAGAAGAACTCAAGTAGTCACAATTCCCAATATGCCTATCGCAAAGTTAGACCGATATACTGAGATCACTGAGACCGAGATCTGAGATCACTGATGTCCACGCGCAAGTTCAACTGATGGCCGCGTGACATTACAGTTACTAACACTCCAGTTTATGCTATTGCAGTCACTTCTCGGATCAGAAGAGTCAGGCATATTATCAGAAACCAGTAATCAGGGGACACAGGAGAGAGACCGTCACACCCGATGAGTGTCAAACAGGATCGCTTTACAGAGCCAATCAAATTCTGCATAAAAATTCGAACTACTCTAAACGTTTGAGTAACAAGAACTATAATACTGCACCCACAATAGCTATCCTCTCTCGGCGACAGGGTAACAAAAAATCTTGTTAATTTCAAAAAGTGGCCAAACCGATAGCTAACAAGTCATTGTGATGACCAAATATCCGGTAAAGAAGCAAGAAAATCAAATGCCCTCCATTAAAGAACTACTGTCCTACGCCTTCATCATCGTCAACTAAAAGAAAATAAACATTAGACAGCGGTTGTACCAGCTCATTTCAAAATAAATATATTTTAGTAGAGCATTTTGACTATTCGATTGGATGACATTTCCTACTGTGGGCAAACTGTTAACCATAAAATGTTCACTCATAGATTGCACAACGTACTCCACTCATAGATCTGGCAATATCTTTTGTTGGGTGCAACATTATCCACGGTTTTGGAGAAACTTATAGGATGATGCATTCTATAAAGGCACAGATTTTTACGGAGAAAATTTTATTAAACAAAAGCATTATCATTAATTTTTAGCTGGCCGGCAAATGTGTCTTCCCATAAAATCGTTTTCTGGCAGTTTACCAGCATGCCCCCAGGAGTGCGCGGCCTTTCGAATTCCCAATGAACCCAATGGAAAATGGGATTCAAGTTATCCTGGAATGATTCATACTTTGTGTCCTAATTAAATATTGAAATAATGTGTGCATAAGAACCCGTTGTCCTTCCATTTCATAAGTCCAGCCCCGGGAGTTGCCGACACTGTGAACAGCTGTCGAGCTCAGTTAAAGTGAAATTTGAGTCCAATGGGTATGCGGATTTTGCTGTGGACTCAAGTGACGGAAGGAGGATAATTTGACGGGCAGTGAATGAAACGTGAAATCCACGAAAAGCTCAAACGATATTTGAAATAGTTTCAGCATCCCAGTCAACGCGACTGCCTCCAGTTGTGTATCATTCATGTGTTCGAACGACTGATTTGCCTTTCATCAGGTAACCAGTCGCGACCAGTTCTATCAGGGTCTCATCATTGAACGTGAATCTGCAACGGGCGTACATGACCCACAATGTTTTCCGTTTTTTTGGGGCTCTTTCAGTAGTTTTACGACACATTGAGATGACTCTGCTTGCATTTTCTGCATCCACGGGTACTCCTGGGAGCATAATGGAAACTCACAAACTGATTATGATATTTTCCTGTTATGCTTTGCGGATGAATGTGACAACATATGTCTTGCTAGTTTGTAAGTTAACTTAGAGGACCAACCCTATTGAGACCTCTATGCTGATTTTCCTGTGATTGAACATCTCGAAATGTGTGATATTCATGTTGCCTAATGTCTTATATTTCAAGATTTACTCCATTTTATAGTATAGTATAGGGAACTTGATGCAGTGTTTCAGTTCCCACTGTATATTGCCGCTGTCTTTCCCCTTACAGAGGCTCTGATTTACTCATTTCGCATTAACATTGGCATGCCTTTAAGTTGATGTAAATATTTTTCACCCGCTAAAATAGATGTCACTAAAAATTATTCCCACATTTGTACACAAAGCATGAAAGAGACCAAAGAGTCACTTGTGTCAGTGGATGTCCAGAGTGGGCCCTTGGATTTTACATATCCCAACGCCAGTGATCTTGGTTACTAGGCATACGCCTTCCAGCATCAAGTTAACTGTAAATTTGAAAACAGCAACGACCACGGAACAGTCGCATACTTAACGTTAGTAATTCATAGGCCCTAATTAGCCAATGAAGACAATTAGACAATGAAGACGATCCTTTTCGGAATATAAGACGATTTTTACCAGTAACGATCCTTTAGGTCTGTAATGATGAGCAGCCAGACTCCTAATGTGCTGAGACAATGAGTTTCTCAAACTTTTGTTTGTGAAGCACACACCCGGTTGGGTGGACGGTGGCTAAGTTGGAAACTATGGTACAACTGGACCTCAAACATCACGTCGTCCAGATGACCGTTCGAATACTTGGGACTACGAAACTTGGGAGGTGACGTCTTGCAGACCTTTTCATCCATAGATATTTGAAATAGATTTCGGCGGTCAAAATGTGCTACATATCAATTCTGGATCAGTAAATGTGTTAAACAATTCATCTGAGCTGAGCTGTTATGTGATCGTATCGCTACCCTCGACCTGCGTTTTGTCCACGTCTGAGAGTGATTACGTATGACTGTTTCCTTACTTCTCTCTTTTTGTCTCACAAGTAGTGGAGCTGCGTAGGTCTGCAGCGCAAGTCATAAATTTTTAAACGTTGGCACGCCTTCACTTTGTACATGATGCATGGGATACCATCAAATAGTCATTCGGACTGCTGCCTCAACCGAGATGTCGTTATTTTTAAATTCCCCTCACATTTTATTGCTATTCCATTATGTACCCATGTACTATCCATCCATTTCTTCTTAGCGGTTCTCTGAAGTAATTTCTGGAAACGGAATTATTCCTGCATATACTTGTTGAAATTTGAAGAGTTCAAGTGACGGTAAATTCCGCGCCATTGGTTATCCAAATTTTCCCATTTCGGCGAATGAGATGAATTAGAATAAACAAGCAGTAATACCGATATATCCCTCGGTTCCACCGTGAAACTCGTTCAATCGACCCATCAGCTCATCAGGTAAAAATCATGTACTATGTGTACATTGGTTTCTTCTGCGGCAGTTTCGATCAACAGAACTGGGTAGAACTCGGGATGTACAGCTGAAATTACGATGCGATTGTATGCTCAGTCAGTTCGAGAATGGGGTATCTACGTGCTGAAAAGGGTAGTTTTAAGACATGAGCTTCACTCGCTCTGCGTGACAGATCGATCTCTGGCTTGCATGCACGTGTTCTAACCAGCGCAACCTATGAAACGTGATTAATTCATCTATCACGGGAGGGTCCCTTCTTCCTTGGGTCATCTGGAGTACTTAAGCATTACCGGTCCATCGTTCCCACCAAATCCTATTGATAACAACACAATCACCCTCCAAAAACACCCTTCTCTCAAGGAATACAGGTCCCATTATTGAAGCGTAGAAAGTCACGGTACGATATAGTCACACAA